CGTTATGTTGTTATGTTACATTATATTATATTACATTACATTATATTATATTATATTATATGTTTCTACAAAGTCTTGAAAAGCACATTTCTGTGCTTCTCTTTGATAAGAATAATTAACATGCCATAAGAACTAGAAAATCCTAAATTGTTGGCAGCCTTTCTTTTAGAGACAGCTAGGGAGTGTGGTGGAAAGGGAGGTGGGCCTACCTGGAGCAAGGAAGACCTGAATTCAAATCTAACCTCAGATACTTGCTAGCTGGATGACCCTGGGCAAGTCATTTAACCTCTATTTGCCTCAGTTTCCTTATCTGCACTTTGGGAAGGATAAAAGTAGTACCTATCTCAAATCAGATAATGTAACACCTCCAAGCACTCTATCAATGCTAACTGTTGTTATTATTAGTATTATTATAGTATAAAGTCCTATGAGGTTATTGAAGAAGTCCATGTAGGTCCTAGCAGTGCCAGACTTCCCCTCCGGGAGAGCCAGTCTCAAAGGCCCCAAATGCTTGGGGCTCGGAGATGCCAGCCATTGGCCAGACCAGCCTAAATCTGTCCCTGTGGACAACAGGTATTGATTGTCCTTGAAGAAAAGAACCCACTTCTGAGTACAAGAAGTGATTATGTGCCATTTCAGCTGGATCCATACTTGGGGAAGAACTGTTGCCAATAGCAGGTAGAGGGGACGGTCTAGTGACAAAAGGAAGCATACATATATATGTGTGTGTGTGTGTGTGTGTGTGTGTGTTGTGTGTGTGTGTGTGTGTGTGGTGGTTTTTTTTGCATAGACATGGTTGACAACCAAATCCTGATTAGCAAATGAAAAAGGAAGCCTAGACAGCCACAAAGTGGACTGGAAGTCCCTGAAAGCTACCAGATGTCTCTGGCCTGGAGTCAATCTATAGTCTTTGGGAAGCTTTGTTGGCAAATGTGGAAGTCAAAAGTGAATCGCGATTATAAACTTGCATTAACACAGTTTGTTTAGAATTTCTTTTTTCATGGCCAGTGGTTTCCACTAGAAAGTCCAGGCCTTGAATGAAGCAGGGCTTCTTCCCCCTTTTCCCTTCAGGGACTCCTCCTCATAATGATGGTTTTGAATAATTGAAGGAAATGCTGAATCTCAGTTGAGAGGTTAGTGAAAATAAAGATGTGATTTCTTTTGCCATCCAAGTCCACAGAGCCCCAGATGGCTATCCCTGTACCCCTCGAAGGTGAAGAGCTTCTGAGCTAAGCCTTACTTACACACACAAAACTAACCTTCTCAGCTGTCCATTGGCATAGTCTTGACAAGCCTAGGGTCATCATGCCCGTGACCCGAGGAGGCACTGGAATATGAGCAGGCGATCCCCATTGTCACCAAAGGGCCACTGAAATGGACCCATAGACAGAGCAACAAGGGCCAGGTAGGGGAGGTGTCGGCAGGGAGGGTAAAACAGGCAATACTTCTACCAAACACCTGAATTTTAAACAAAGAATATGCTTTCCCTACATTGGGCTGGACCTATTGCTTGATTCTGAGGGCCAACTGGGAAGGACTCCCAGGGCAGATTGAGAGACAGTGAGAAGATAAGGGTGGGGAGAACAGGGAAAAAGTCTCTCCTTGGGATTTCAGGCAGATTTTTTCTCAGAATTCTGCTTCATTTGTTCACGTGTTGGAATAGACGTGGGGAACAGAATGACGCAGTCCAAGAAGGTGCCTGCACTGCACTGGGGAAAGTAGAGGATTAGTTTTTTCTTATAAGTGAAATCTTGACCAGGGAAGGCTGAATACCTGAATACTCTGTGCCACAGAAGGTGATAGAGGAGGAGCTTCTCCAGCTCAAGGGTGCTTGACCCTCCTGGGCTCCTGGGTTCTCTGCTGTGAACTGGGGAGAGATTTCACTGGGTCTATGAACTTCCTTATTTTCACTAACCTTCCACTGAAATTTAGCATTTTCTTTGATTATTTGAGATTATGATTCTGAGAAGTCCCTGGGTTTTACTAGGTAGTCGGAGGGGTCCGTGGCACAAAACTGGGTTAAAAGCCTCAGATTAGACTGAATAAATCAAGTTAGTGCTGTCGATTTACTTTGTGGTCTATGTACAAGTCACAATGAACCATGTCCCTGCCTTGGTTTCTCCACCTGTAAAATGGGGCAATAATAATAATTATAAGTCACCGAATTTCAGAGTGGAGCCTTAAGGGTCTTCTAGTTCAGCCATCTCATTTTGAAAATGAGAAAGCTAAGAATTCTGAGCACTGACCTCACAAGTCACCACAGAGCTGGGACAACATCCCACAACCAGGCCTGTTGGACTCCAGCCCATTACTGGGCTTCCAGCTGCTGCTTCCAGCTGTCTCCTGTCCCTTTCTCTACCATGGCCTCCCATACACCCTGTAATGAGCATCTGTGTACCTTTCTGGGGGTCTTCCTCTAGGTAGCTCTTGTAATATTGGGAGTAACATGGTAGCTCTTGGGCCATCTATTTCATATCACATGAACAGCCCATAGCCCAACAGACACTAACAAGTGTGTTCCAAGAGAGCCATCCAGTTTCCTTGCTCCAGAAGAAGTGAATCAATCCATTGTCACCCCTTTCTTGACAACAGCTGATGAGAAAATACCCAAAATTAAGACCTTCTGTTTTCTCTCCTTTCTGTTACCACTTTCTTACTCTGAAATCCTCCTCGGAAGCCAACAAGGTAATGACCAAGTTAGAAAAGGTGACCAGTAGTAATTCTTGGTCCAAAAGGGCTTTGTGGCTCAGCACAAAGGGCCTAGACTAAAACTGCTGAGGCCCCACCATATTGCGGCCATGTTTTGTCGGCCACGAACCTCTTTGTCATTCAGTGGCTGACAAAATTATTTTGAGTACGTGGGAAAAACTCTTACTCCAGAGTGCCCTGAATCACTGAAATAGCCCAAGTTATATAGATGCTAAAAAGCATTGCCATAATTAAAATATGCAAAACCTACAAATTTTCTCTATTGATGGGATCTTTCTTTAACCAATATCAAAGGCAGCCTTTTTTTGGCCCAGGGGGCCAATGGAACTTATGAAGGGGAGGCTTACCTATAATGACCCCACAGGATGAGTTATGACATCGTGTAAGACAATGGGGAGAGGGACAGAATGTGTGCCTGTCAGAACCTGTCCTTGTTAATAGTGGACAGACATAATTGTTTTCAGATAGCATGCTGTGGCTCTCCTGGGTCACTGGACCCAGACTAGAAGGGTCCTGGACCTGGCATCTGAAATATTTTGTAGCTTTCGCTTGTCAATCGAGCAAAGAAAAACAAATTGTTTTCAGGAAGTATAACTGTATAACATGGGGATGGGGGGAGCTACTAAGAAATAGAAATACCTACCTATTTGCTGCCTTGATTTTATCTTACTTTAATTGGAAATGGTCTGGCTTTTTTTTTTCCCCTAATGCCAGCGTTGGTGAGATTTCACTAATGTAGCACCTAGGGAAACCTGGGCTTTTGTGTCTTTCTGGGGAATAAACACATTACTTTAAAAACAATTTGTTGCAAGCATTCCCCTCCAATTCGCCATTAAATTCCAGGGGCTGTCAGTCACTGTGAGTGCTGCTTTGAGGCTCCTGAGCTGGTGATTCTTTTAGAAGGGCTTTGTGCATTAGCTTGACGTGTAATTGAAGACTGCGGTGGTGGCAGAGAATGAGGTCCTAGGTACAATCTTCCCCTGAACTACTGAGGAATAAAAGGGGGGGGCAGCATTTGTAGCGAGTTTACCCTGGTAGGGTACTTGGTTCTTTATGCTATTAAAAATATTGTGTTTTTTCAGACTTTTCACTAATCAGGCCTGGTATATGCCCTAGTTTTAATTAGTGTAGCTTCATCACTAGGTCATCTGTATATGGCACATGAGAATAGTATGGGGGAGCAGAGCCTTCTTCACCTAAAATTTCGACGGCCTATACTTGACCATATTTCGTGGCTCCAAGGATCCATGATTTATTTCCCCAGGGTGGCCACACCCTCCACTAAGAAAAATTGCAACCCTTCCATGCATCAGGAGAAGGTCATCATGAGTTTGTGGGATGGGGCTGTCAATGAGTCAGTCAATAAAATTCACTGAGCATTCCTTTTTGTGCCAGGCACTTGCTAAGAGCTGGAGATACAAAGAAAGTCAAAAACCTGGTCATCTCTTCCTTCAGGGAGCTCACATTCTGGGCTCAACCTTTTGGTAATAACCAAGCCTGTAGTCCTCATTGAGTGTGGGAGCCTGGAAGCAAGGGGTGGCCTTTAAACAGCTGTAGAGTCCATGTGCCCCCATAAATAACACATAAGGGGTGACCATGGAGGAAAGAGACTGGATGCTTCTTTTGGAACAGACTCGTTCTGCGCTTTAGGCAGTGGGTGTAAAAGAGGCAGGCATGAGTGGCCTGAGGGCTGTGCTGTCACCACCCCAGTGACAAAGACCCACCTAACGGAACACTCCCAGCATGGACATAGGCTGTATGGGAAGAAAAGGGGACAGAATAAAAAGAAGGTTGAGATCTGCACCAGCGGAGGGAATGTTCATGCCGTTGTCCCATTATCCGGCTTATTCCCAGCATCCATCCTGCCAATAGCGAGCTTCCCAGTAACCCTGCTTGGGCAGCTCTCTGACTCTTCGGGTGATGTTTCCATGGCTGACCATATTTCTTGGTGTTCCCAGAGCCATTTTACTAACCACCCCAGCAAGCTGGCATCATTACAATACGCCCCCTTCCCTTCCCTTGCTGTGTCAGCACCATTGACCCCTGGGACTACACGGAAGGGGATGAAACCCACTTGCACATGGGTTTGGGGGTGTTGGTGGAAATGGCTATTTCATTAACTAAGAGTTCCATTAGCTCCTGGATTCCCCCGAGTTTCAGGGGTGGGGGCTGGGCTGGTTCTGTGTGCTTGCCTCCTCTGTGCCACCTCTCGCCCGCATCTAACTTACCTGGGAGCCGGACATACGTTGAGGGTCACTACTGAGCCAAATCTCCTTCCGTTTCTTCCGCAGGTGTGAAGCAAGGAAGCTAAGGATGCTTCGTTCTTGGACTCATGGGCCATGTGGGAGACGTTCGGAGGGAGGGACGGTGGAGCAGATCATCTAGGACCCGGGGGAGCCTCTCCCCCGCAGCGGCAGCCGGCGCCTCCCTTGGTCTCAGCTCAGGCCAACCTGCCCACTCACTATCGGGCCTTTCGGAAGCACGAATGGGAAGTGGTAGAGCGCGCTCTGCGCATTCTGCAAGCCGCTGACTTCTACTGGGGGCCTCTGTCGGTGGGCGAGGCCCACGCCCGGCTGGAGGAGGAGCCCGTGGGCACCTACCTGCTGCGGGACAGCGCCCAGGGGGACTGCCTGTTCAGCGTGAGCGTCAAGATGCCGGCGGGCCCCGTCAGCCTGCGCATCGCCTTCCAGAAGGGCCACTTCTGGCTGGGACACTTGTTTTCGGACTGTGTCGTGACGCTGCTGGAGATGGCGGTGGAGGCAACCCGGAGCAACGCCTTTCACTGTAAGGAGGGCTTCGCTTTGGTTTTCTCCAGCCCTCTAGGAAGGAGCCGGAGCGTGTCCCAGCGGCAGGACGTGGGCCAGCGAAGCCTGGACGCTTGTGGGCCAGCCGCTCCCAGGACAGAGCACGGCGCGAAGGCCGCTGAGAAGCAGGAGGCCATGGGCCCCTCCCGGGCTTGGCAGGAGCGGGGCCAGCCGCCCTCCAGGATTCACCTTCCTGCCCACCGCCAACCAAAGTAGACTTGGGAGCCAACTTGTGGACTTTGCTTCTGCTGCTGATTTCAGCTGTGCCTCGGGACCCAGGCTCTGCCCTCCATCCCGCACGAATGGACGAGGTCCTCTGGGAAGATGGGTTTCAGCAGCAGGGGGTAGGAGGGAAGAAGACTCATGGTTCTCCCTGAATAAACCATTCCAAGCATCCACTCCCATGGGGCAGGGTGGGGACTGTTGTCCCATCCTCACCAGCCGATCCCCTTTCATCCCTTACTGGAGGGGATGAGTCACATGTTTAAGTCAGGCTTTCACTTATTCAAGCGTAATCTTCTATCAGACTGGAGGCTGGAGAGACAAGACAGGGACCCAGCCTTAGGTGCGTTTCCCTGTCTCTGTTAAAGACGCCTCCTTTGTACCTCCTTCCTCCTATGGAGACGTTTTTTCTCCATCCTAGTAGTAAGCCCAGGTAGTGGCCAGGCCGGAATGGTGGGCACAGGCTCAGACTGACCCTGTGGGGTGCCTGCAGACCCATGACCTCTCTACTGGCCTGACCCCTCTTTCCTCTGTTCTCTAACCAAGGCCAATGAACTCTGAGAGTCAAGGCCCCACATAAGTTTTTGGCTTGTGAACCCAATTAAGGACCAAATAAAAGGAAGGGAAAGGTGGAGCTGTTCAAAAGGCAGCCTTAGGTGTCCTTCCTGTGCAGAGTACTGCCCGATGCCTTTATCTAGCATCTTGTACTTTTAGACCGCTTGAATGTCACTTAGAGCACCTTACAACCCATGCCTGCAACCCCACAGGCTGAGAGAGGATTTTCATCCCAATATTGAAGGTAAGGAGACAGGCCAGAGAAATTAAGCAACCCTCACAGAGGTCCATGCCCTGCGAGTGGCATGGGGCCTAGGGCACAGAGTTCCTGAACAAGCACCCAGGATGTTTTCGATAACCCCGTACAGCCACCGTGTTGCTTCTTCTGGCATCAGACTTTTGTTCTTGTCCAGGATGGGGGCGGGGGGAGGAGCAGAAGCTTTGGCAGGATGTGAGCTGTGGGAGAGTGAGCGGTGGTCAGGCTGAATGACCCCCTCCCCAGCAGGAATTACTGCTCAGGTAGGCATTTGCACAGTTAGGCTCTGGGATCCCTTCCAACAAGATTTCTGATGGTGTGGCACCAGCCAGCCTGGGCCAGTGGAAGAAGCCCACAAAAGAGAAAGGTTTGGCTAAAAATCAAAACCAAATGGGGCTCCATGGGTTTCTGTAAGTGAAATGCACCAAATCAACAGGGCCAGGGCAGGGAAACCCCAGCCTTGTAGAACCTCAAGCCAAAAGGGTCCAAGATGCTCTCTAGTCCAATGCTGTCATGCTGCAGACAGATGGGCAAAGAGAGCAGAGAGTGAAGTGACTGCTCCGGGGTCACACACTTGGTTAGGTGTAGAACCCACGGCTCTAGGTTTCCAGCTCATGGCCCTGTCAGCTAAACAGCACCATTCCCCCTTTTATTGAATCTTTTGACATTTGATTTTCTATCACTTTTTTTTTACATTTAGTATTCTAAAAATGTACTTTGAGTGGAGGGTCATTGAAAAAAAACATGTTCACATTATGGTCCATGACCATGATTCCCCATAGACATGAGAGTTCAGAGGCTGCGTTATCCCTTGGCAGGAATGTCTTAGAATGTCAGCACTTAGCACAATGCCTGGCACATAGCAGGCATTTAGTAACTCTGGATTGATTGAGAGGAAAAGGTTCATCCTTCAGGCAGGGAGAAAGTGTGATTAGGTGACCTCCGAGGACCTGTCCTACACACTCAGCAGTCACTTTATATTTCTTGGGGCATTTTGGCTTTTGAGATCAGAAAATTCCCACAAATTTGCCCAGAGTCTCTCTCTGTGACCAAAGTTAAAACAGGATCTGACCTGTTTTCTGCCATTACCAAGTTGTTAGGCTATCGTACCCTGGAAAATGGCAGTTTTGGGGCATTGCTTGAAAAATGTGCCAACTCTACATTGGGAATGACTCAGGCGCATGCAGATTTGGGATTTCCCCTCACAGTGATGAGTGAATGTATTTTGCATTGTAATTGGCAGAAGGCCCCCTTGAATGTTAGAGCTCTTAGAGATGGGCATTTTACAGATGAGAAAACCAAGGCTTAGAGGAGGGAGGGGACTGGCCTGTGGTCACTTAATTCTGTTGAGGACCAGGAATCAGTAGAAAGTTGGTTTGCAGAGCTCCTGAATAGCACAAAGAAAGTCTGAAAAGCCTTATTCAGACAGATAAAGAAAGACGCTAGTGTTCTGGTCTTGGAAAACTTCTTGGGGTTTTAAACAGTTATTTCTTGCTGTGTCCTTTTTTGACCTTGGAAGTGGAGAGAGTTCTGGGATAGAAGTCAGGAAGACACAAGTTCAGATCCAGTCTCAGATACTAGCTGTGTGACTTGGGCAAGTCTCAGTTTCCTCAAATGTAAAATGGGGATGATACTAGCACTTACCTTTCAGGGTTATTATAGGGATCAAATGAGATAATGTTTGTAAAGCATTTAATACAGTGCCAGGCACATCCATAGCAGGCATTTAATAAATGCATGTTCCTTTCCTGTCCTCTTGCCCCTACTTTACCTGTTAGCTATGGTGGGGAGAGGCACTTTGGAAGGGCATGTCATCCATTCTCAGATTCCTCAACTCTCCAGCCTAGGCTATGCCTCAACCTCCCATCTTCAAAGACTGTCCATCATTTAGGGCCGTTATCCTCTGATAATGGAGGAAGAATATGCTGCTAATGGACCAGTCCTGAACCCAGAGGATAGCTGTGGCTGTCATCACCTTCTGAGTGAACCCTTGCAGCTAACAGCTGTCATTCACCAATGTCATTGGGTCCACTAGACTAATTAAATACTGTTTCTTAGATTATTCCATTTGATACCTAATCTGATTTTTTAAAGTTTAAAATTATTTAAATCTATGTCATTAGCTGTCACTTTATACCAGATTCAATACCTTAATTCTTGTGCTAAAGGAGAAAATGAAATTATTTACTCATACTTATTGACCTTTTGGGCTAAGATCAATTATAATGACAACTCTGGATGGGACTGCCTTGATGTTTACAGCACCTTACAAGCCCTTTCTTTATAGTATGAATTAATAGCATGATAAGATTACAAGAAAGTTGTTCAATATTCTTTATTAGCAGGTATTTCATTTCTGGGGAGCCAAGGGACCTCAGAAGTTCTCATAGGGCAGGGGTTCTTCACCTTGCTTGTGTCCTAGATACAACTCAGGGAATACTGCAGCCTTTTGGGAGGCTATGCCACACATGCATCAGAGAAGCTACTGGGGTGGTGGCTGAAAGAGGGTGACACCTGGAGGACAATGCAGATATTATACTTCCTTGCTGGATAATTGGTACAGTGACACACTACCTCCCTGTAGGATTATAGAAGGCAATAGTGAGCTGATTTACACTGATATTATTTCAGCGCCCCAGACATCTCATAGTATACACATGAAGCAGCACATGTAGTCCACAAATGTAACATTTTATATATTTCATTCTTACAATATCATAAAAATGCATACTTCTCACTAATTAAGATTGTCATTCTCCCCAGTTCAAATTAGTATTTTTAAAAATTTTGTTAAATCATTTGTATTCTGGACATGAGACTATAGCTTAAGATTCTCCACTCCAACTGGTTCATAAATCATTAATTAGAATAAAAATCAAACTATTCAATTGAATTCAGTAAGCATTTATTACATATCTACTATGTTTCAGGCGCTGTGCTGGTTGCTGGAGTTACAAAGACAAAGACAAAACAGTCTCTGCTCACAAGGAGCTAATATTCAGAACCAGAGGTAGGGGTGGGGTGGGGGGTGGGGAACAGCACATACATAGACACAATAGAAATACCAAATAAATGTGAAGCCATTTCTGAGAGTTGGGATGGGCAGAAGGTGACTAGAGCTGAGCTTTGAAAGGAGTTTGGGATTCCAGTAAGTGGAAGTGAGGAAGAGCCAAGGGCTAAAATAGCCTGTGCAAAGGAGGAACAGTGAGTAGATGTAGCTGAAACATGGAGTGTGTGATGGGGAGTAATGTGTAATTACCCTGGAAAGGCAGGCTGGAGCCGCTCTGTGAGGAGCTGATTTAGCAGTCAAGTTCACAGAGTCGGTTATTTACAACCTGTCAACACATTTATTGTGCCGAGTGGTGTGGTGTTTTTTTTTTTCTGGCACCAGTTCAGGGAAAAAAAGAACATCTAAACGGTCCCTCCTCGGAAGCAGTTTATAATCATAGAGGATCAGGTTGGGGTGAGGCAGCAGGATTATGCCCTTTGGGTCTGTTGAGTCCCTGCACATTTAACATGAACAGAGGCACTCAAAGCATGGAAGGAGATGAGAGGCAATTCCAGGGGAGAAGGGAAAACACCTCCAACTCTGCCACTCAGTTGTCCAAGCTCTCTCCCTCCCTCTCTCCCTCTCTCCCTCTCTTAGTCTCTCTCTCTCTCTCTCTCTCTCTCTCTCTCTCTCTCTCTCTCTCTCTCTCTCTCTCCCTCTCCCTCTCTCTCTCTCTCTCTCTCTCTCTCTCTCTCTCTCTCTCTCTCTCTCTCTCTCTCTCTGCTCTCTCTGTCTTTCTCTCTCTCCTTTCTCCTTGGGCATTGAAAGAACTTCATGATATCTTGGAGGTGAAATGCGATTAAGCAGTGGAATGAGGTGTGGTGAGGAAACTACAAAGGTATTGTTTGATTGTCTTTCTCTAATCAATCCATCAACATTTATTAAGCTCTTACTATGTGCCAGGCACCAGGCTAAGAGCTGGGGATACAAAAAGAAGCAAAAGACAGTCCCTGCCCTCAAGGAGCTTACAATCTAACGGGGGAGACAACAAGAAAACAGATATGTACAAACAAGCTGGAGACAGGAAGTACAGGACATAATGAAAAGAGGGAAGGCACTAGAATGAAGAGGGGCTGGGGAAGGCTTCCTTGCAGAAAATGGGATTTTATCTGAGACTTAAAGGAACCAGGGAAGCTAGCAGGTGGAGATGAGGAGAGGAAGCATTCCAGGCATGGGAGATGACCAGAGAAAATGCCCAGAGCCAAGAGATGAAGGGTCTTGTTCATGGACCAGTCCAATGTCACTGGGTCAGAGAGTGTGTGTTGGGAAATAAGGCGTAGGAAGACTAGAAGACTGGGAAGGTAGGAAGGGGCCAGGTTCTGAAGGGCTTTGAATGCTGAACAGAGCATTTTGCATTTGATCCAGGAGGAGATAGGAAACCACTGGAGTTTATTGAGTAGGGGGTGACATGGTTGGACCTGCGCTTTATGAGAATCACTTTAGTGGCTGAATGGAGGACGGATGGGTGAGGCAGCCAGACCCCACAGCAGCTGTGGCTATAAGTCCAGGCATGAGGTGATGGGGGTCTGCACCACAGTAGGGGCAGGGTCAGAGAGGAGAAGGGGGTGTGTTGGAGAGATGTTAGAAATAGATTGGGCATGGGGGTTGAGAGATAAGGAGAGTCCAAGATAACTCCTAGGATGTTGCCCAAGAAAGTAATAGAGAAAGTAGGAGTAGGGAGGGTTTAGGCAGAAAGATCATGGGTTCCATTCTGGACATGTTGGATTGAAGATGTCTACTAGACATCCAATTCAAGATGGCTGAAAGGCAGTTGGAGATGAGAGATTGAAGGTGAGCAGAGAGTTCAGGGCAGGCTGAGTAGTTTTGAGAATAGTCAGTATAGAGACGGTAATTAAATCCATGGGAGGTGATGGTCATCTAGAGGGAGAAGAGAAGAGGGCCCAGGACAGAGCCCTGAGAGATGCCGACAATGAGTTAGAGGGTGTGATCTGGAGAAGCATCCAGCAAAGGAGACAGAGAAGGAACAATCAGAGAGGCAGGAGGAGAAACAGGAGAGAGGGGTGTCCTGAAAACTGGAGAGAGGAGAGTATCAAGGAGAAAGTGGTCCCAGTGTCAAAAGCCTGAAGAATGAGGATTAAGGCCATTGGATTTGGCAACCAAGAGGTCCCTCGTAACTCTGGAGAGAGCTGTTTGGGTGGAAGGATAACTGAAATGACTTCCCTTCCTGTCCCTGGTGGAACAAGGGGAGACCTGGGGCGTCTTGAATATACCTCTCTGTCATTCGTTTGGAGGGAGACGCTTCTGCCTGCACGTCTCCAAGTGCCTTTCTCTGGCTGTTACCTGTTAGATCTGGGGTGTCCCTCCTGCTCTTGATGCATCCGAGTAAAAATAGGAGGAAGGAGGATGCATGAAACAGGTCCCTGATCCTTCTGGCCCCATCTGCTAAGGAAATCATGGTCAGATACAGAGGCTTGATTGTTGTAGAAGTTTATTTACCGAGGAAGAAGGGCCTAGAATTCACAACAAACATTTGCTATGTGCCAAGCACTGTGCTAGACAAAAAAAAGAACCAGTCCCTGTCCTCAAGAAGCTTCCATTCCAATGAAGGAGAGCACCTATAAAAGCATATTGGTCACATACTAAATGACTAGAAAAGGCAAGG